GAATTAATAAGGATTTATGATTTCAAATTTTTACTAAATTAAAGATTTGTTAAAAAATTAAACTAAATTTAGTAAAAATGAACAAATAAAGTAGTTTTTTAATAAATTATATATTAAAATAATAATTGTAATAACTCACATATTTTTCCTAATTTATGGGAATTAATAAGGATTTATGATTTCAAATTTTTACTAACTTAAAGATTTGATAAAGATTTAATTTGGGATTAATATTTTTTAATTTAAGATTATTATTTTTCTTAAATAATAATTCAACAAACATGAAGTCTGAGGCTCAACTTTATTTCCTCAACCTTATTCCTTTTTCAAAATAAATTTACTTTTACATAATAAACACTTCCTTCTAGATCCGACATCTTCTTCTCTTATGGTTCAACTCTAAGATTCTTAAAAGTGAATATATTTGTTCTTCTTGATTTCTTATCCTTTCTCATTTCCTTAAATTTAATATTGTTAAATTTAATATTGTAATCTCCAGATCTCTTTTTTCATTTGTTATTAAGATTTCATCTCAGATTTTACATCAAAATCTTAAATCCCAGTGAATTTTTATATTTTATTTCAAAAAATTGAGTTAATAGTAAATTGTGTATATATAAATATATATATATATATATATATATATATATACTATACTTATAAGCAGCAGTAATGGGGGAAAGATTAAAAAAAAAAAGTAACGGGGGAAAGAACCTGCTGTACAGTAGCACCCATGCGATTGCGTGTGGGCAATGCTGTACAAGACTAGTGCTAGTGACACTCGCCTTCTGCACTCTCCGGCCACACTTTCACTTTTATTGGGCCACGTTATTCTGATCGGTAAAGAGGTCGCACCTCAAAACCTGAGACAAGCTTACGTGGTCCAATGAAAGAGGAAGTGTGGGCCGGAGAGTGCAAGAGGCAAGTGCCCCTAGCACTGTCAACAACTCTAATACTGGTAATAGATCAGGTGTTGACACCTGTTGATTTATTAAAATAATATGAATAATGATGTGGCCGGGCACATGGCACTGGGTGATAGATTTTAAAGGTTGATACAGTAATATCAGCACCCTCAATCTTCACATATATATTATAAAACTAGATACTATTATGTTAAATTAAAATTAATAATTTTTAATTGTTGATTAATATTCAATGTAAATTTTAAGTTCTTGATTATTTAAGTTCTTGATTATTTAGGTATTTCAAATTTATAATCTTCATTTTTTAGGTAAGTAAATTTATGATTTTATTTTTGGTTTTAAATTATAATTTTAAAACATAATTTTTATTGATTTTGAAATAGTGACAAAATTAAACCTGATGTATTTGTGGATCTCACCCAAAAGTGACGTCTATTTCGCTCTAAAATTTGGAACATGGCAATAATAAATAAAACTAAATTTTGGAATCAAAATCTAAAACTAATAATGTGAAACCAATATTTCTTAATAATTAACTCTTTAATTTTATAATATTATAATATTAC